TATGCTAAACTGATCTTCTGTATATAAAGAGAATCGAAAATGAATCTTGATGTGAATGGAAGGGGAGAGGGAGTGGGAAAGGGGAGGGTTGCGGGTTGGAGGGACGTTATGGGGGGGAAGCCATTGTAATCCATACGCTGTACTTTGGAAATTTATATTCATTAAATAAAAGTTAAAAAAAAAGACCCGAAATTCATAGTAAATCTTGTAAGTTTCTAGATGAAATCTAGAAGGGGCCAAGCCCCGAAACAATGTCCAAGGATTTGAGACGCTGTGACCTCACAACTCTTAGAATCTCTCCCTTCTTCCCTATCCCTCTTTTTCCCTCTCTCATTTAGTCCTCTATTCACTTTCTTTCTGTTTAATCACTATCATTTCGAAATGTGCAGAGTATTTTCTATGCATATGGATTGGAACTGTTTATCTGCAAATGTCTAGCATACTTCAGCACTGCAATGACCTAACATACTCTTGAGTCTTAGGCATATTGAAATCGTTTTGCGCAGGCGCTGCGGCTCATTAGGCTAATCCTCCACCTTGCGGTGCCAGCACACCGGGTTCTAGTCCCCGTCGGGGCGCCGGATTCTGTCCCGGTTGTCCCTCTTCCAGGCCAGCTCTCTGCTGTGGCCAGGGAGTGCAGTGGAGGATGGCCCAAGTGCTTGGGCCCTGCACCCCATGGGAGACCAGGATAAGTACCTGGCTCCTGCCATCGGATCAGCACAGTGCGCCGGTCTCAGCGGCCATTGGATGGTGAACCAGCGGCAAAGGAAGACCTTTCTCTCTGTCTCTCTCTCTCTCACTGTCCACTCTGCCTGTCAAAAAAAAAAAAAAATTGTTTTGCAACACATCATACCTATGAAAAATTTGGTAGTGGTGGCAACTTCAATTCATGTTCCAAGTCTTTTCTTTGGCTACTCCAATATATTCCCAGAACATCACAGAAGCAGAAGTGGAAATTAATAGGTACTCTGCAGCTATTTACATGACAGTCTTTTGTTCCTACCTGTTAATAATCCACATTTCAAAAAAATTTTGATGCCTTTACAGTGGGAGACACCACCTCAAAGGCCTATAAGGGGCTAAAAAAGTAACACATCTTAATAGTGCAAGAAAAATCAGGGCACAGCTTCATGATGAATGCCAGTTGTCCCTGAACTTCACAGCAGTGCAAAGAGCAAGGTTGATAAATCTGGAAGAATTGAGAGTACACACCACTACTAAAATGGAAATTTTCTACTAGTTCTAGCCAATTGTTGCCAAAAGGGAAAATAAGCCACATGTTTATGGAAATTTGGACTTTTAAAGGAGAAGCTAGAAATTCAGATTTTTATATGAAATCTCTTGATTTTCAAATGTGCTCATCAAATAGAAGTCCACATGAGCCATTAGCTCACTAATAATCTCTAAATATACTTATGCCCTCTCCTGAATAGCTGGATCCTTATTTGACTTGTTTCCTATGTTCTCCAAGTAACTGATAAATTCTTCAGGGACAGGGACTGGAACCTTTCAAGTCTTTCTTATGCTAACAACATATGGTGAAATCTCTGTAAACTATTATTACAAAGCTAAAGTTGAAAATGGGTTATTTTTAAGCCACAAAGTTCTATGATAAATTACTTCTCTAGTCTTACTTCACTGGCTACATTTTGCAGCTTGCAAAAGATGTTTGCACAATAATGATGAAATATATTTTTTCCAACTATTAGTAAATTGCTTAGGAATCATATTCCCCATCTCCATTAAACTTTGGCCCAGGTCTATTTAATAACACGTTGATTGAGATCTTGGTTCTGGATTCAACTCACAGATTTCCTTTCTTGTCAGTGATTGACATTAGTTCTGTTACTTCTATCTGCACCTCCCTTTCTTCATATGTAAAATGGAGATGATAATACAGTTTACTTCATAGTGCTGTTTGTGAAGAGTTCAAGTTATTAGTCAGGAAAAAGTGTTTGACAATCAGATTCTGATTGAGTTGGCTGCTTAAAACAATTTGATTAATATCCTCCAAAAGGAAGGTCTATCTGCAAAGAAACAGCATTGAGTTAACAAAACTCCCTTCTCCACCAGAGATGTTCAAACATGGGTTCATTTGCTTTATTAGCTTACATATAAATGAGATTTTAATATATCAACATTCTGTTAAAAATAAAGTAATACAACCACAATCACAAGAAGCAGAGCTTCGTTTTTCTTGGGAGTCAGCACCTTAATATTTTTCAGTTTAGCCTAAGCATTTTTCTTCACATTGTAATTTCACTCATAACCCTGACACTGCCAATTTTGCACTTAAGTCAAACAGAAATAGACCCCAGCGTTTCAATGAAATCTCAGAATGACAACTCTCCAGCCAGCCCTCTGACTGTATTTGGGGTGGCATTACAATATAACTACATGTTCTGTCTTCTAGAGAAGGAAAGATGAGAAATTTCCATCTTCTTGGCTTCACATTTGTCTTCACAGCCAATACACCTTTTCATGTGATTCTTTTTAGAATGTAATGTCAGAGTGAAGCCAACAGAGAAAAGTTCCAGCAAATGGAATTGCCATAGCAACACCCCACGTTTCTCATCAAGTTTGGTCTTGTGTGGATCTTCACATTAAAGCTTGTTTTTCAGCTTGGTGAAAGCCATGACTGTAATCTTCAGTGTGAAAATCTCTCCAACCCATCCAGGAGTTAAAAATAGAAGATAATAATTTGAATTATTTCATGAACATAAAAATCTGGAATTGCAGCTACTCCACAGACGGAATTAACTGGTAGAACACTGGCACTTGGGACCACTTGAATTTCCCCCATACTGTTTCAAATTGGATTTAGAACTCATCATTATGACTTATTATTTGTTGAGTGCTGACCAAGTCCTCAACTCTGAACAAAACAATGGGGAAGTCCTCATCTCTTTCAAGTGCCCAGGGTACAGAAGCATAGCACTGCAAGAATCTCGAATAAGGTTGTGTGTGATTTACTTGCTTTTGCTAGCTAGAAAATTTATCTTAGGTTTTCAATAAAGCTTTCTATCTAGAAAGCTTTTCATTTGGGAGTCTTTCTTTGGAGTGAATTAAAATTAGTAGTCTTTCTTTAAAAAAAATTCTCAGAAAAATAACAATATACCCTTGATAGTTGTTTTTTTCTTCTAAATATTCATCTAAATATTTCACTTCCAGTGCCTGGTGGAAAGCAACTTAAATAGAGGGAATATGAATATTGGGGCTGCTTTAGCAAAATGGTAGTATATATTGGTCACCATAAAACAAATGTATTCTTAATCCAAAATAACAGTTAAATTTGCTATCACATGTTCTTCCTGTATCCCAATTAGTTCTCTATGGAATGAAAATTTTACATTACAATTTAAGGTTACACATGGTTATTCATAAAAAAAAAACTAAAAGTATAAATAAATAATGCTAAAATATGTTTTGCCATTTTTTCACAGCAAGAGGACATTATGAATTTATCATTATTTTCTAAGAATATAAGTTTAAGATTCAAATATTAAAACAAGTAGTGGGGACAAATGCTTAGCCTAGCAGTTAAGATGAGTTAAGATGCCCCTGCCCTATGTTGGAGTGCTTGGCTTGGACCCCTGGCTCTAACTCCTGCCTCCAGCTTACTGCTGGTGCAAATCCTGGAAGACATTAATGATGGCTCAAGGACTGCGCTCCTGTCTCCCACGTAGGGAACCTGAAATGAGTTCCCAGCTCCCAGATTCAGCCATAGACCTATTCCTGCTGTTGTGGGCATTTGGAGAGAAACCTGATGGGATCTCTGTCTATCCCTCTGCTCTCAAAATAAATGTTAAAAAATAAATAAAACACTAATAAATACACTCTGGTCATCGAATTATAATTAGTGGGAATAAAAGTGATGAACCAGTGGACATAAGAATTAGGTAGGTTGACATGAATTTTTAAATAAACAAGATTTTAAAACTTACCAGCACATAAAAAAATGTATAATTAAAGTTGATTATTTTCAAAAACAGATATGCACAGAATTCATTTAGTGTTAGTACACTCTGGAGTAAAGACTCTGGTTGGTTTTATACAATAAAAGAGAGCAATTATTATTAAATTTTCAATATTCCTTCTCTGTCCGTGAAACAGAGTCATACCATTGACACATTTTCACAGCCCTTGGCAAAGATCCATGCAATTTTAATCATGGATATTAATTCTCTTCTTTAAACCACTAACCCACCCCTTTAACTACTCTATTACTTCACACTGGTATTTATTTCACTGCCACAAGCAGTGATGCATGGAAATTAAACTAAAGATATTCATTATTTTCCTGCTTTTGCCTCAGTGCATAAGATTTTCATTTGTAAATTTGTAAGTGGTGAAAATGCCTTCACTTTATCACAGGTTTATCAGCATATGACCTCCATCTTGTGGTGATTAAATATCATGAGGGTCTGGCATAAAGACAAACCAGCAGGGATGGGCTCCACTGACTGGTGACAAGCAAGATGGCTGTGGAACACTGATAATTGTGTGATAACTTACAATCTTAAGGAAAAGTCAGCCTTACACACCATACCCTTAACCATCACTCGAAAGTCAAGATTCTGTAATAAAAAGACCAGAAATTCAATTGTTTTCAAATGACAATATTGGGTTACAATATTTTTCTCAGCAATTACTTTGTCACAAAATCATTTTTTCTTTTTTTTTTTCTTTCTTTTCCCTGTGGAGTTAGTGATGGGGACTCTGACTTTTCCCAAAATAACCTTTAATTATAGTTTTTGATCTTGACATTCTTGAAAAATGCCCTACTGGCTAGTCTTCTGTAAGTACCATCTGTAAGTTTTGATCATAAACTAACTGATCCTAGAATCTGCCTGGCAAAAAGCATTGCGAGTCATTTTGGGAAAAGTCAGGCATAGTCAATTTTCACAGTCTTGAAACTTGAAATGATTTCTTCCAGCTCTCAGGAAGAAAAAAAAAAATCTGGCATGAAATTCCGTGTTAGAATTTTTAAGCAAAAATAGAGGAGAGAGCTGGAATATAGCAAAAAAAAAAAAAAAAAAAAAAAAAAAAAAAAAAAAAAAAAAAAAAAAAAAAAGAGAGAGAGAGATACATTAGAAATTTGAATATACTAGAAACTACATTTGTCAAGAAAATAAGAAAGGAATTTGCAACCATATTGTCACAGTTGCACCTAATTATTTATACCAAAAGTGTGGTGAATTTCTATTTCTGAAGAACTCATCTAAGAATGGATGGGAAATAAAAGAAATATAAAATGTATATCATTAAGTATGAGGGGAAGTATTGCCTAGCATCTTGGAGTTAATCAGTGCCTTGAAATAAGCAGGAAATGAAAGGAGGATGAAGAGAACCACAGCTATGCTGCTGTGTGTCAGGTTAACACAGACAGAGCTAACCTGCCTCAACATGGCCAGCACTTAGTGTTAGAAGTTACAGGACTGTTCATTCACCCGAATAGTGAGACAATTCAGAAGACGCTACTTCTTTGAACAATGTAACTAATTAAAGATTTTGGCCAAAGTACTTCTTGGAGAGAAGTAAGGATCTCTCTGACAAGCGATAGTTATGGGACACTGACTGCTTGTGTTAAACTGCTTCTGCCGTCTTTGTTGTTCACTCTGTTGGCTACAGGTTGCCCACGGTATGGAGTCTGTGAAGGAAAATAGCGGAATTTTTCTCTTTGTTGATATTTTATCAAAACATACCCCCAAAGAATCCTAGCTTTTGTATTTGTACCAAGGCAGACAAAATGCACATTTCTATTCTTCTGGGGAGTCAAGAGTCCCCACGAGACTCTGCTTACACTGCTGTGAAATCACAGAATTAGCATGGCCCCAAATTTTATAAAAGCACAATTTTTTATTTACCATGAAACTCATGCCGATTGTCATTGTATGCCAAAAAAAATTTTTTTAGAAGAAATGGAGTATGGGTCATTTTATCTTCTGATCTTAGTTTCCTAATGACTCTACTAATATATCTTTCTGGAAATAGACACAGAGTACCACGGTTTTGACCACTGTCTCTAGTGAGTTTTATTTCTAGTACTACTAAGTTTGATAATTTAAAGATATGGAAAAGTATGTCTTCATTCACATAAATACTCACTTTTAACATTCTCTTGGACAAACACATATCAGTAGGAAAAACTTTTGCTTAGTATTTAAATAACACTGTAGTATGCTACAATAATGTTAATAATTACTGTGCCAATGTGTGATTACGTTTTGTTGAAAGCCCCAATCCTGAGCAGGAGAGGGGAGGGTTGCGGGTGGGAGGGAAGTTATGGGGGGGGGATGGGAGGAAGCCACTGTAATCCATAAGAGCTGTACTTTGGAAATTTATATTCATTAAATAACAGTTAAAAAAAAAAAGAAAGCCCCAATCCTGTCAGCTGCTGTGCTAGGTATATTCTTCATCATCACCATCATCATCATGCCATCATAGTTAATACTTTTGGAATGTTTATCAGGGAAAGAATTGCATATATGCCATTCATTTAAAGTTCCCAGAAGTTCAAATGACCCATAGCAAGTAAGAAGTGTGGCCTAAATTCAAATCCAGGCCTGTGTACTCTATGACTTACTAGCCCTTTATAATGCATAATGTTTCAAAAACTCCATACACTTCACAGTTCATTTTTTTTTCTTTTTAAGGTTTGTTTATTTATTTGAAAGGCAAAGGCAGAGGTAGAGAGATTGTCCATCTGCTGGTTACTCGCAGATGGCCATAAAGGCTGGAGCTGTGGCAATCTTAAGCTAGGAGCCAGGAGATTCTTCCAGGTCTCCCACGCGGATGCAGGGACCCAAGGACTCAGGGTATCTTTTAATGCTGGATTGGAAGTGGAGCAGCTGGGACTGGAACTGGGGCTCATGTGGGATGCCAGCACTGCAGGCGGCGGCTTTACCTGCTATGTCACAGCGCCGGCCCCCGCAATTCGTTTTTGAAATGGAACACAAAATCTGGTATTTCCTGATTTTTTTTTTTTTTTTATCTCACGCCTGTATCTATTTGAAGCAAGATCTCTTCAGGGCTCTTCCCTCAATGGGAAAATCTCATATATATTTCATAGTTTTTAAAGCTTTAGTGATTAGAAAGCTCACATCGCACAGTGATGCATTGCCTATCTTGCCAGCTCTAGCTGTTTTCTCCTTCCTTCTTCCTTGTTCTTACCACTTTCCTGTGACAACAAGTGTTCCCATTCTTTATCTCTGGATGACACTCCAGGAAATCTCTTTTGGGACTGAACTTTGGAGGCTGTATCCAAGTTCCAAGTGAGCTTATAAATTTGTTTTCAGAGTGAATTCATTGTTCTCCCTGGAGGAAGTTGTGGTGAATATAATTTTCTCTACCTCTCATACGTAATTCACCTGGAATTTTTCAAAAAGTAATAATATCTCATTTTCTAAAATTTTGCATGGTTTCTTAAAAAAACATGTATTTTTAAGCTGTAGTAGCTAAAGAGTTTCTTGCACATAATCTCATTAAAGATCTGCCATGTCCACCCCCCCCCTTTTTTTTAAGGCAGATGAGGAAAGAAAGGAAGCAAAGGATTAAGGAAGCGTTGTTTCTGCAAGTTCAAGTATGCATTGAAAAGGGCTGCTGGTAGAAAACAAAAAAAGAAGTTGATCATTTGCCAT